ACGTGGTTAAGTGGTGTAATACTCCTTGTGAATTACAAGAAAATCGTTTTTCGCCAAGTAAAATGTGAGATATGTTTTCCACTAGTGTTTATCATATCACTAAGGTGAAACTCCAATATCACCCACCCCTTTATTGCTCAAGTTTAAACTTCGGTTACACCAGAGACTCCTTCACATAGGTAGAAGCCGATCAATGAATTCTCCAGTTCTCTTCTACTACACCGTTTAGCAGCTTTTACTACTGGTGAGGTCTGTAGACTGTTGCTCTCTAGGCGAGCCAATTACGGAATGTTAGACACTCCCTGTTCGCTGTATTATATGGAACGAAACTGTGATGACCAACAGCATCATGAAGTCTCCTGATAGCGGCAATGCTCTCCACACATTCTCAGTATAGCCGCCTTATCGAGTCGTACACAGTCACACCAGCGAGTGCTATCTCGCCGATAAGGAAGGTCTGCTTTTAGGCTTTATATGGTATAAGCGTCATACAATATAGTCTTTCCAACGCTACTTCACAAGACTATGGTCATTGATTGTAACCCTATCCACAACTGTTTCCCCTTTTTCGCCGAGCTCATAGGGCGTGGCGTCACGTATTGGTACCCGAAAACATCTCTACTAAGCCATCTAGTACGACTCCCGGTTATGTATTAGATGAAATATCGAGTGATGAATCTGAAAGCTTTCCACTACAAGAGTTACCTTCCACGTGAGGGTACCTTGAAGTTTCCTAGGCTTACCCAACTCCGACCACCCTGCAATGCTATGAATCTATAGAGAAGTTAGGCTTAAAACGGGGATGAGTCAAAGTGAAATTCCTATCTCACTGTGTGGCAGAAACATGAGATAGAATCTTGAGGTGAGTATCAAAGATTCATAACGTGTCCAGGACAAAAGATACTTAGGGTGAAGAACCTTCAAAGATGCCATTGCTAGTTTAACGGGCGCGCGCGGTTTCAAAAGGCTATCGATCAGGTGATCGATTTGGATCATCATCGCGAGGCCGTCTGCCGTATACCCCGACCAGTGTCGTCATGGGATCCGGTAAACCCAGAGGAATCAACTGCGCGCGTAAGCTCCGCAACACCAGGAGGAAGAACTTGTAATAGGGGATAGTCTGTAATTATTATTAATATTATTCCATACCACTCCTTCGTCTCATCGTCTCGATTGCATTCTATTCAGGTGGGCCGATAAGGACTACAAGAAGGCTAACCTCGGAACCGTCTTCAAGTCCAACCCCTTCGGAGGCTCTTCCCATGCTAAGGGAATCGTCGTTGAGAAGATGGGCATTGAGGCCAAGCAGCCCAACTCTGCTATTCGTAAGTGCTGCCGTGTACAGCTCATCAAGAATGGCAAGAAGATCGCCGCTTTCGTCCCTAATGATGGTAATCAACAACAACCTGTCCTTTCGAGTGATAAGACTATCGTCTTGTTCAGGTTGCCTCAACTTCATCGATGAAAATGACGAAGTGCTCGTGTCCGGATTCGGCCGTCGTGGTCATGCCGTCGGTGATATCCCCGGTGTCCGTTTTAAGGTCGTCAAGGTTGCCGGTTGCTCTCTTCTCGCCTTGTACAAGGAGAAGAAGGAGAAGCCCCGTTCTTAAGGAGCTCAATGACTTCCTTTTCCCGGTCTCACGACACTCCGCTTGATGTCAAAGTGTGTTGCGTTTTTATGGGTAATGTGATGACCAATAATCGTCTACCCTCTTCATAGTAATGCGCTTATTTCGTGGCCTAGTCTCTAACTGCACATAGTCGACTACA